ACAACCCCTCCCCCCCCCCCCCCCCCCCCCCCCCCTTTTTTTCTCTATATCTCTGTGTGCCAATGTAAAGGGTTGGGCATTCAACATAGAGAGAAAGGGAGGCGTTTGGCAACGGTTGCAATGGGTATTTGATGGTGGATCACAGGTTGTGTGGAGTGGAAAATGGTGGATCTCATGTGGGGTGGATAGGGAAGATAGTAGTCCCTCCGTAATGGCATCTCTATGTATATTTAGCATTATATGTATGTAATAAACTAAATATGAGTCAATATTTAGATAAATAAATGTTATATTAGTAAAATATATAGATTTGGTATGGGTATAAACATAAAAGTGCTACTTTCACTATCGTTACGGGACAAATTCTAACACCCTTAGGGGTGTCAGTGAAATCTCAGAAATGGAAAGTAGTGTCATTGAAGTTAGGCCCATCTACATGGGGTGTATATGAAATTTACCAAATCAAATAACTACAAAGAAGACGTGAAGTGAAGATAAACATTCAATATTAAGCTCATGCTCAAACAATCAAAGGATTCTTACATGCTACAGTATGATTCGAATGCAACACAAACCATTAAAAGAAACTTACAAATCAAATATGATCCCATTACGTTGTTCGCTTATCATCTCAAACTTCATCTCAAATAAGGCTTTCCATTAAAAAAACCAGTAAATCATCAAAATGGTCAACATATAAGGAAAAGCTATTCATCATCAAAAATTCTTCATAAATCACACGCATGCTCTGAAGAAAAAGCAAAATAAAAAATAAAAGACAGCATGTGGAAGTCCACATATTCAAATCATCAAAAGAGATAGCAAATAATTCTTTTACTGCATTAATCACATTCTCATATTCAACTCATCTACTATAACCATTCAAACAGAAAGGTCAGACAGACAAATACATGCACAGTTTACTACGACACATGATTCTCGTATTCAAATAACAAGGAATTATAGAAAGATCCTTTTAACATATACAACCAAATGAACATCTTTATATGAACTATATGATCAAAGTATCAACATTTTCAATCAACACAAGCATTAAGAATCATCGTGAAACACTAAATAAACCTATATCAGCACATCAAAATTCAGTAGCAATATCATAACATTCAAATAATTAGATTTCCATTAAAAAAAACTAGTGCAACCTCTACAAGAGTCTCGCTCTCTTTCTCTTTCTGTTGCTGATCCAAATCGGCACCGCCCCAAACAGCCTGGGGAGGAGCCGTCGTAGCATAATAGTCATCATCATCCTCGTCATCAACATCAGCCCAAGATTTCACCGCCAGTGGCGTAGGAGCCCAGAAAACCTGCGGCTCCGGCTCTACCTCTTGCTTCTTCTTCGACGAAGAGCTTGAGTTCTTGCTCTTCGACGAACCATCTTTCTCCGACTTCTTCTTCTTCCTTAGGGTTCCGAGGGCCGCGAACACGTTAGTGTTGTTAAACCCCGATGCCTCGTCCTTCCTGTTTCCCCCTCCAGCCATTGTCAGCAGTCGATTCCAAAGCCACAGTTCCTCAACGAACAAACTTCTACACGCCTCACACTTCCGCAAACCTTGAGAAACAGTAATTAAAAATTTATTGAAAATTGAGATTGATAAGTTTGATGGTACTGAAGGAGAAGATTTCGCTGGACCCAGATGATTTTACAGTAAGTTACAGAGAAAATCAATATGCGATGAAAATCAGGTGGATAAGATTCAGAAAAAAAAAAACTATGAATTTTCTTGGGGAAACGAAAAAGAAAATGAAAAAGACAGAAAGATAAATTCTACGGATGGGAGAAAAATTTAGGGGAAATTGAAGGTTTTATTTTAAATTGATGATGTGATCGGGGGAAGATAGAGGGTGATTTTTTTTCTGGAGAGAGAGAGAAAGAGAGGAGGGTTGATCTAATGAAGGAGATCGAGTCCCAATTGGAAATGGCCTTCTTCTTATATTTATGGGATGCGGATAAGTGTGGTGGGGGTGGAAGGTCGGTTATGGTGGTGGTTTTAGGGTTTGGCTAGGCTGAGACGGTGGTGGTTGTTTTTGGTCACGCAGACTGTCCTACGGCCCTATTCCGTGTTGTGGGTAAAAGTGTGTTGGAAGTCGGTGGAAGTCCGCGTGTTTGGTTTGGTTGGATGAATGAAAAAATCATAAAATGAACAGCTAGCGGAATAGTAATATATTTTTTATTTTTTAATGGGAGAATTTTTATTTTGGATTAATCTCATTTTGCATCTTGAAAGATTGTTCGAATCTTAATTTCTATCCTCAAAGATCAAAAATCTCAATTTACACCCTCAAAAATAAAAATTTGTATCAATGTGCACCCCCAAAGATCAAAAATCTCAATTTGCACCCTCAAAGATAGAAATTTGTATCAATGTGCACCTAAAAATTAAATTGATAAATTATACCTAGATCCCCTCATACTTGTCACTTAATCATTTAGACCTCTTCACATTTAGAATATTACTCCTACATCTTATGACATTTGTGCACGTATAACACGTAACTCATTTTCATTGATATTTATTAATATAACAATTAAAAAATATAATTTTATCCTAATAAAAAATTATAATTTCATATTACCCTTTATTTTATGGGTTTAATATATTCTAAAATTCAAAATCTAGTTTACCATTTGAATGTCTAATAAAATGTAAATATTTATATAATGTTTTTCATATTACCTTTTATATAAATATCTACATTTTATTAGACATTTAAATGGTAAGCTTGATTTTTAACTTTAAAATATATCGAATCCACAAAATAAAAGGTAATATGAAATTATAATTTTTTATTAGGATAAAATCATATTTTTTAATGATTATATTAACAGATATCAACGAAAAGTGGTTGTGTTACACATGCACAAACGTCATGAGATGTAAGGGGAATATTCTAAATGTGAAGAAGTTCAAATGATTAAGTGACAAACATGAGGGGATCTAGGTATAATTTATCAATTTAATTTTAGGTGCACATTGATACAAATTTTTATCTTTGAGGGTGCAAATTGAGATTTTTTATCTATGGGGATGCACATTGATAAAAATTTCTATCTTTGAGGGTGTAAATTCAGATTTTTTATTTTTGGAGGTGCAAATTGAGATTTGAACAATCTTTTAGGATGTAAAATGAGATTAACCCTTTTATTTTTCTCCTTTGTGTCTTGTAGAATAGATGCAAAAAAAAGGACCGACTAATATTTTTTATGTTTGGTAAGATGAGTAACTGAAAAAATGAAAAAACAAAATAAATATAATTTTTATCATTATAACTATATTTAATATTAGTATATAATAATACTAGTTATTGTCTGTACTTGAAGACACAAAGTAAAAAAAAAAAGATAAATAATAAATATATTTGTATTTATATTTTAAATTAAATCATAAACATAGAGAAGATATAAAAAAATTTAAGAATCGATTTGTAGTGGGGGGTGAGAAGTGGTGGGCAGCAGTGATGGTGATAGGAGACAGTAATAGTTATGGTGGTTGTGGCGACGGTGGTGGAGGCAGGAAGCGTGGTGGGGGCGGCGCTGGTGACGGCGACGGCAGTGTTGGTGGTAGATGTGGCGATAGGACGGTTTCAAATATTATTTATTTTTAATGAATTTATAAAAAACATTTTTTAAAAATATTTTTAAAAAATTAATTCAAACACACCCTTAGAGCCTATTGTTCCTATTAAATTTAAGGTGTTAATATTAGCCGTTAGATTAATTTTAACGTAAAATTTAAAACGATCTCAATCGCGAATAACAAAAATCATTTTTTTTATCTTTTGAAATTTGAATTATAACCTACTTTATTATATAGATGTAATAGATAAATAAGTTATACACATATATTAAAGAATATATATGTATATATATATATATATATATTTTTAAATTTAGAGAAATTGATTTTGGTAAATTTGAAGAAAAATTTATCCATCTATTTTTTCATGACTCTTATAATTATTCTTTATCAATCATATTCAACTTTTTATTCTTTTAATTTTTCATCGTACTAAACANCATATTAAATTTAAGGTGTTAATATTAGCCGTTAGATTAATTTTAACGTAAAATTTAAAGCGATCTCAATCGCGAATAACAAAAATTATTTTTTTTATCTTTTGAAATTTGAATTATAACCTACTTTATTATATAGATGTAATAGATAAATAAGTTATACACATATATTAAAGAATATATATGTATATATATATATATATATATTTTTAAATTTAGAGAAATTGATTTTGGTAAATTTGAAGAAAAATTTATCCATCTATTTTTTCATGACTCTTATAATTATTCTTTATCAATCATATTCAACTTTTTATTCTTTCAATTTTTCATCGTATTAAACAAAGTATAAAAGTAAAAGAATATAGTGGAAATTATCATTATCCGCAAGTGTAATTAGCTCTATGTGAAATTTACATCGTATTTAAATTACAGTGTTCACAATTTATTTGAGANTATTCTTTATCAATCATATTCAACTTTTTATTCTTTTAATTTTTCATCGTACTAAACAAAGTACAAAAGTAAAAGAATATAGTGGAAATTATCATTATCCGCAAGTGTAATTTGCTCTATGTGAAATTTACATCGTATTTAAATTACAGTGTTCACAATTTATTTGAGAAATAATTTTATTTGAACATAATTTGTTGATTTAAGTATTTATTGCCATTAAATTGACAATAAATCCCAGTATTTATTGAAATCACAAACAACCAAATAATTGTGATAAATTATATCAGTAAATTATATTCAAATAGAATTATTGTTTATTTGAATTTGTACTTCGTTTATATAAAAAATTTTATTTTTTATTTTAATAAGAAATGTTAATATTTCCATTGGTTAAACATTAGTAATATTAGCCTCGAAAGTGGACATCAAGAATTTTGGTGCATTCTATTTTCTCTTTTGTACATAGCAACCCTCACGTGTAAGCATTTTTGTTTAAAGGAGAATTACACTTTACACCTTGAAAGATTTTAAAATTTTTAATTTACAATTTTAAAAATTAATTTATTATATTATACTCTCAATATCATAAAATAATTACAATGAGATCTCCCCTTACACTAATTTTCATTGATATTTCTAACAAATCCAACTACACACGATGCATGTGAATTTGNATTTTAAAATTTTTAATTTACAATTTTAAAAATTAATTTATTATATTATACTCTCAATATCATAAAATAATTACAATGAGATCTTCCCTTATACTAATTTTCATTGATATTTCTAACAAATCCAACTACACACGATGCATGTGAATTTGACAGAAACAGTAACTGAAGTTAGTGTGAGAATCACATCGTAACTATTTTATTTTTATGCCATTGAGGATGTAATATAAAAAAAATTAATCTTTGTTAATACGAATTAAAAATTTTAAAATCTTTTGGGTACAAAGTGTGATTCGCCCTTAACTCAATGAATCACTCCATGTTCACCGGAGGTAAGCCGGTGAATAAGTTGACTCAAACCTGCTACAAAGAACCCATTATAGTTGTATGGTTGGATCTGTGCGAATAATTCACCCAATTTCTCAAGTTAAAGATTCCAATATACTCGATGTATATAATGTATCGATGATTTTGTACATTNTGTGATTCGCCCTTAACTCAATGAATCACTCCATGTTCACCGGAGGTAAGCCGGTGAATAAGTTGACTCAAGCCTGCTACAAAGAACCCATTATAGTTGTATGGTTGGATCCGTGCGAATCATTCACCCAATTTCTTAAGTTAAAGATTCCAATATACTCGATGTATATAATGTATCGATGATTTTGTACATTCAAAGTTTAGTATTCGTAAAAATTCACAATACACGTGATTGAAACGATTTTCTGTTATCTATAAAAAAAAGTATAAAAGAGCTTAACTTTTTTTTAATTAGCTTGTATAATACCATGCATTAATCATATCTAGTGGTATTCTACAAAAAAAAGAAGATCTACAAAAAAAAGAAGACAAAAAAAGAAAGAAAAATCCACACATCTGAACAAAGACTATGAATGAGAGTACCTGNAAGTATAAAAGAGCTTAACTTTTTTTAATTAGCTTGTATAATACCATGCATTAATCATATCTAGTGGTATTCTACAAAAAAAAGAAGATCTACAAAAAAAAGAAAGAAAAATCCACACATCTGAACAAAGACTATGAATGAGAGTACCTGGCTTTCTCAAGTCAGCTATTCTAGGATACAAGAAGCAAAAACACTATACATCCCTCAAGAATAACAAGCAAGATATCAAACAGTTTCCTATGCAGCATCATTGCTGAACGACCATAAGCAATCATCACCGGAAACCGACACCAATCGTCCGATGGATCCACATCTGTCACCACAGCCAAGCCTGAGAAATCGCAATCCCAACTATTCTGGCTCTTGAATTGGTAATACATATTGAAAGCATAAGAAGCATTCTCTTTGGTGCTAAGATGGTTACAAGAAGAGCCATAGCCCAAAGCAGTGCAATCAGATAAGCTACATGCATAATCAATGTTCTTTGCCAAGTCCTCCAATCCATTGGCATGAGGGTTCAAAACACACCACCTTTTGGGCATATATTGTACACCTTCCACTGCAACTAGGCCTTTGTTATCTTGCAAACCAGACAGGTCCAATTCATACTTTGGCTTCCCATCAAACTCGAATATCCCCCAATGCCTCTCAAAGCTCCCCGGGTCAATGCTTTTAGCATTCTCATCAATGAGGCTGAACAGATAAACTTCTATGATTCCTTTTCTAGCAGGGGTTCCATTTCTACTCAAGGCATGTTGAATCATTCCTTGATTGAATCTTTTCGCATTTTGGGTATTAGCATCCTTATCGCCATCTGTTGGCCACCCGACTTCTCCAACCATGATCTTCATGTCGGGGTATCCTGCTTTCTTTAAAGACGAAACAAGGGTGTCAAAGTTTGCATCAAACACATTGGTGTAGACATAGTCCCCATCTATAATAGGCTTGTTTGATCCATCAAAGAATGCATAGTCCATAGGAAAGTAAACGTTGCCATAGAGACTGAGGAAAGGGTAGATATTGACGACAAAAGGGGCATCATTTGAGTACAAGTATTGGCAGATTTCAATCGTGATGTCTCGGATTTCTGGCCTGAAGTCACCGGCAGAGGGGACTGGATTGGACTCTGGCGAGTTGTAGACATCAGCATTGAAGGGGATTGTGGCTTTGACTTGTGATCCAATCCCAGCACGGTTTATGGCTTCCTGGATATTTTTGAGGGCTGGCAATGTGTAAGGTAAGAAAGTGTCATTGTAAGTTCGGAGGAAGGGCTCATTGCCAACGGCTACATACCTGCAAATTACATCGTCGAGTTCATTACAGAGACTCAGCAATGGCAAGAGCTTGGAGGGAACAAGATGACATTAAAACCTTCCCGATTGAGGTCAAATCGAACAATCCATTTATTGAAATTGTTGAAAAACTAATCGCAAGAAATGGCAAAGCTTGGATTTGACAGAAACTTTTCCCATCTCCATGCAACACCAGACATATGCACGAGGTCACAAACAAATAGCAAAACGAAACAGAAACAACACAGAATCATGTACAAAACAGCAAAATAAAGAGAAGAAACGTGTGGGAAATTTCAAATTTAAAGAAAAACATACATCACAGTCTGTAAAAAGGTATCAATTTAAAGAACAAAAAAGAATGTAGAAAAACAGTTTTACAGGGGAAACCCACATACAAAAGCAGAGGAAGTCGCAGCAAAACATGTTCGGGAGTTGAAAGGACAAAATAATAAGCAGCTTGATCCGAAAATCTACTGAACTAATGGAGGATATTAATCAGGTACTAAGTCATATAATACAAATTAAGAACCAAAAGCATTGCCTATTCTTTTCATGCCAAAACTCCCATTTCAACCAAAACCCATTCTAAATCTGAAGGGGAGAGAGAGAGAAAGAGAGAGAGAAGGGGTTGAGAATCAAAAACAAGCATGGTCTTAAAGATAAGATTTGTTACTCAAAACAGTGATCAACCTGATATTAACTCCACCAGTATAGCAATAACTAGTGACATTTGCATCAACCCAAGAAGCTGCAGCCTTAGGGTCCTCACTCATCTCCTGCAACATGTGATTGGGAACTGCCACCATCACTTCAATATCAGTCCCAATCAAAGCACCCAAAATTTTCTCATCAGCCTCAAACAGTTTCACCTTATCAAATCCATTCTCTCTCAGCATCTCAACCACCTTCTCTGGTGGCAACAAGTGAGACGCCATGGTTCCCCAGTTCACTCCCACACTTGACCCTTTTGCGACCATGATCACGAGTACACTACAGGTTACTATCAAGAGAAAACTATTGGAGACTAGTATTGCCTTTACCATTTTCTTTTCTTTGATGAATCTTTGATGGGTATCTTTGAATCTTTCTTGAGAATAAAGAAAGATAAGGGAGAACTGATCAAATGGATTGAAGGAGAAGAATAGAAAGGAGGGTTTTCTCCTTGTTTTCTTGTGCACATATATACACGTGAAGAGTGAATGCTCTCTCTCTACAATTTTTGCTGTTTGCCTTTTGAGAAACTTCAATGAGAAGGTGAAAGTCTGAAAGATCTACAAGAAAGTGGAGGTGAGAGAAAGAAGAATGAAAGATTCCTTTGTTAAATTAGTTACAGTTATGCAACGAAATCATGCCAATTTGCGCTTCTTAACTGTCAGACTGTACGTAAGGTAATTCCCAAAGTCATCCACATGGTGCCATTGTGGTTGTCAAATTTCAGAATAAGACATGCGTTATAACCATCATTTGGTGGGTCGGAAATTTATTTTTTCCGCGATCAAGGATTTTTTTTGACAATTAAGGATATTCAAGTCAGTTAACGCGCAGGTCAAATAATATTTTCCCTTATTCAGTCAAANTATTTTTTCCGCCATCAAGAATTTTTTTTGACAATTAAAGATATTCAAGTCAGTTAACGCGCAGGTCAAATAATATTTTCCCTTATTCAGTCAAACGTAAACTATCCACGTCAAGATTAGGATATTCACGAGAGATAAATTTATGAACCCCTGACCTAATCTCAATAAATTATTAAAATTCGAACTTAAGACATTCATGTTTACGTCTCTCGCAAATTCTATTTCCCTTCAATTTTTTTCACTTTTTATTAGAAATTCAACCTAAAATCGAGTCTCGCAAACCTCGGATGCATGCACGGATATCCTACCACCTATTCAGGGAAATTCCTACATGGGGGTTTAAAACTAACAAGTGTGTAACTTTATTTTACGAAATATCTATCATTTTAGAGCAACTCCAACGACTCCTCAAATGTTTCTTCTTAGCAAGTTTACGTAGTGTCTTCCTAAATTCTCCCTCTAACAAGATCAATTTGCTAGCTATTTCTGGCGTGGCAAAGGGACTGCTAGTTTTTGCGCCAAGTTTCACTCCACAGCACTGGAAGGTATTTCTTGGTTGTCTTTATCGTCTTCATCAAGCACCGAAGCACATGTGTGCTTTATTCTCTATTTATATCTCTCTGTCTCTCTCTTTCTTCATCTTCGGTCTCTGTTGGCTCCTACTGAAAAACTCCAAAAAAAAACCTAGCAAAAACCCCCAAAAAATTCCAAACCTACCAAAAAAACCCAAATATCTCACTAAAAAACCCACGAAATCCCACCCAAAAATCTACTGAAACCCCACCCAGTAGAGAGAAGACAACTGAAAAATCCACAAAATTAGAGCAAAAATCCATTTGGATTGTTGGGTACCTGAGTATTTGGATTTTGTGGGTTTTCGTGTTGGCTACTAGAGTATTGGATTTTGGGTACCTAAGTATTTGGATTTTGTGAGTATTATGGGTTTTATAGGTAAAGTTAGTTGAAATAATTAGTTAAAATAGAGAGTGCTGTTGGAGTGAATTAGTAAGAGTTGATTTTTTAAAATCGATAGTGTAATAAAAAAATATATTTTTGCTAATTAGCCTAGATAGTCTCCTTAGAATTGCTCTTATAACCTAACTTATAAAAAGCATTGAAATCATGTCGACTACACATTTTCTTAACCCTATAGTATTATTCAATATTATATTGAATATAATGGGTTCTACTTAGACTTAGAGCAGGTGGGTCATTGCATTCCAGTGAGTTTATAAATATAATATGTATAAATACAAGATTGGACATTGAAAATTAAATAATATATATATATATATATAAAATAAAACATAATATTTTTTTACCATAAAGTATTACAAGAGCTCAAATTATTTAGATCTAATAACTTATCTTATAACTTATATTTTAATTAAAATAAATTATTTAACCACAACCACACTTACATTAAAAAAATATAACCCAATTTTTATTTCAACCATAAGAAATCTACTCACTTACATTTTAACGTCAATAGAAAAGAAAAATTGAACACTTGGCTAAAAGAAAAAGTTCATACTTGGTCGTGCATTCCACCGGGGACCCCTAGTATATATATATATAAATTTTAGATCCATTCTTTTAATCATATGAATTTTTAAACCTCAAGTGACACAGCAGCAATGTGAAATGGTGGAAACTGAAGACAAAAGGAGTGGGGTGGACCCCAGAAAAATAGAAGGGGTTGTTAATACTTGGTCATCAGGGCATTGACTCCTTTTGAAATTGGATAATGAAGAAAATCCTCCAAAATGCTAACTTTCCACCCCAAATCTACGTGTTTCATTCTCATGCAATTTTCCTTTCTTTGTTTTATTTTCCTCTTTTATGATACAAAAGTTCAGCTCTCATGCAATCTTCCTTTTTCTTTCTTTCTAAAGGCTTTAGCTTTTATGCCCTTTTAATCGTCTCAGAAATTTTAAAGTTTGGCCAAAGCTGTTTTTGCCTTTCCTCTGATCAAAGAGGATAGACATGGCATAAAGGATGTGTCAGTGTCATCCTCATATCTAGTGGGCACAAATAAATTTTTTTAATACTTTTAAAGGGGTCCAATTAAAATTACATGAAATTCGACAGTAACAATTTTTATTTTGAGATTTGGAGTGTCAAGGATTTCCCTAGACTTCAATGTAGCTTTGTCCCTGGGTTCACGAACCACATTCCATAGTTTGATACAAATAATGTGAAGAAGTCTTCCTCTCATTTCTTAGAATTTTGAATATTGTACAAAAAAAATAAAAAGTTTCTTCCAGTCATGTTCTATCATTTGTCACTTATAACTAGAAGTGTCCAAAATATGACATAACTTGTTAACACGACACAGAATTAAAAAATTTAAGTCTTCATTAAACCATATATTTCCTAAACAAGGAAACCCAACAAAACATGATATGATTAATAAAAGAATTGGTTATGGATAAAACCAATCAAAAGAAATACACAATACGACTCGTTTATGTACGATTAGACATAATTCATATATGATACAATCTTGATATGACATGACCCGTCAGACATGAATTAATTAGTAAATGACTTGAATATAAGTAAAATATCTTTTAACACATACCCAATAAAAACTCAACACAAANACCAATCAAAAGAAATACACAATACGACTCGTTTATGTACGATTAGACATAATTCATATATGATACAATCTTGTTATGACATGACCCGTTAGACATGAATAAATTAATAAATGACTTGAATATAAGTGAAATATCTTTTAACACATACCCAATAAAAACTCAACACAAACCCGCTTCAACCGACACGATTGCCAGACTTACTCGTAACTGTCCATCTCCTCCCCCACTAANAACCCGCTTCAACCGACACGATTGCCAGACTTACTCATAACTGTCCATCTCCTCCCCCACTAATTACCCACTATTTATGTACCTTTATTTAAAAATTACTGCTACCAATCTAAAAGCTTTCAATGATTCTTAATTAATCTAATTTTTCAGGTTATAGCAATGAAAGAAAGGAAAAATAAGAAAAAAAAAACAACAGATTATAAATTTTATGGGAAATCTACCAAACCTGAAGAGAAGTCGCCCTCTTTGATCCATCAATGGATACAACAAAGTGAAAAAGCTTGATCAACTGCCTTGCACCTTTTCTCTTTGTTTTTTGGGTGTATGATGATGAAAATGATAGTGGGAATGTGTCTTTTAGTAGTGATGAATAACATATTCACAGGGCATAATTTTGGAGGATAGAGACTTCCTGGGACTCTGCTCATCTCTTTTATGGAGAGACAACATACTCATTTGCCAAGCCTTAATTTGAATATTAACCATAAAAAGAGAAAACATACTTGGAACATATCAACTCTGCTTTCGCNAAAAGAGAAAACATACTCGGAACATATCAACTCTGCTTTCGCCAATGTAGAAAAGCATATAAAGCATCGGGAATCTTGGAACCCGAGATCATTGCCTACCCAAAAAAAATTGAAAAAAGCATTGCCAAAACAGGTCACATTACTACTCAAACAGATCAAAACTACAACTCAATTTTGGAATGGGTATGAAAAAGTTGAGATCGATCCCAATTTTTTAAGATCAATCATAAATGACGCACATATAATATTTACTGTAAAAGTATGCAAATTAGATCATTACTCTGGATGCCATTTTGCAGGGTAAATAAAATTGTAGAGCCTGAACCTGTTCCATTTTAATGCTGCATCATGACCGCAGGGGGCTATGGGTAGACATATGCCTAAGGTCTCCCTCACAGCATCTTCTTAAGGCAGTTGACATAGCTCACTTATACCTACACACAAGAGTCTCCACCGCAGTGTTGTATATGGTAAAATGTGGACAGACATCTATTCGCCAGTTCACGCCTGCTTCATGTTCTTCAGGTTCCTGACTTATCTGCACATCCTAAGCAAATGCCCGGTTCTTACTTGCGTTTGTAAGTTTTTAGGGTACAATGTGATTCAAAAACTCTTCTGGAGCCATTCTTCTAGTTTGGCTAGTACTCATTCCGGCCCACAGCCTTTTTCCAGTAATCTAAGTTTGTCTTTCTTCTCTGTTTAGTTTCAAGTCAGGGGGAAATGGAACACCACCTAAGGGTTAGACCACCATAAATCAATTATAACCTTGGATTCTTCTGTGCTTATGACTCTCCATCAGCAGAATGAATGATAGTCTTAGTGACATCATCGTTGAAGCATGCTTCCTCTGGCAACCTAAAGCTTAAACAAAACATCGCCTGCATGATAGAGCAAATTCAAAACATAAGGAGGATCGTGATTACATGCATGGTGCACACATTTAAATGTGAACTCAAGAAGTTTTGCAGTTTAGTAAAACAGGATCCTGACTTTTTTTTCCCTGTAGACTAGTCCTGCTACTAAGATTCTACCTTGTTTGGAGCAACATCTCTAACTTTATAAAATATTGGGTCACATATGCTAGCATTCAAGGCAGATTCTGCCTCCTGCAAAACAGTTATAAAACAGTTTAAATCTCATACCAAAAAAAAAAAAAAAGCACACAATANGCTAGCATTCAAGGCAGATTCTGCCTCCTGCAAAACAGTTATAAAACAGTTTAAATCTCATACCAAAAAAAAAAAAAAAGCACACAATACATGAGACTCCCAGCCATATTGGGGTCTGGAAGATCATAAGTGTAAGGTCTTGCCCCTCTTTGAACCCGCGACATATCACTTTGGCAGAGGACCACTTGCCATAGCACTAGGTTCGACCTCTACAAACACAAAACATAAAAATAAAAAATAACTTACACTGATTATCAATTCTTTTGTCTCACTTGCCCGCATGAAGCAATAACAGTGAATCCAAGGAAGAGGCCCCTTCCAGCATCTCCTCTGTATAAGACCGCTAAAAGCATCTGAGGAAGAAATTCCAACTTTTCATTTCTTTTATAATTTCTTCTTGGCAAGGGACAACATATAAAGGAAAAGGTGAGATCTACAAACAACACATATATAAATATCAGACTATCAGTGGCTATTTTGGCAAAGAAGCAAGAGCAAGACACCAAAAATGCATGTTTCAGAAGATATACAAAGTGATACAGTGGATTACAGTCTGAACCATTTTGCTATGTGAAAGATAATCTCAGGTCACTGAATATTCAAATGGCAGATTAACAGAAATGGAGATGTAAATCATAACTAAATTTCCCTAGACAGTCACATTTTGGGGATCAAATTTGTGGTGGCTTCATGCAACTAGGAACAATAACCCATGGCACCGACACGATACTTGAACCTCCACAAATCCATTATAACAACCTATAACTCCACACATGGATCTTGAAATATTACAGTTGATGCCAACTGAAGGATGCTCAGTCATTTGTTAAGATTTGATCTCATGTCAATGGACCTGCAAGCTTCTATAGTTGGTCTGTGCATGATTACATGAACAAAGAAAACAAGAGAGCCATGAAACAAAAAATATATACTCCACAAAAAATCAGAATGCTATAGCCTAATGAAAAGAGGGTGTTCATAATCGCAAGTGCTTGATACTTAGCTGAACTTCACTAAAATACATAGCACTTTGGTCAGTTAATGATTTTGGAAAATGAGACTGACAAGATATCCTACTCCCCACCCAACCTCCACCGCACAGAGAGAGAGAGAGAGAGAGAGCACGGGTGGGGGGAAGACGAGTCGGCAAAACAGCACAATTACCAAGAAATTGTAGAGCAGAAGCTGGCAGGTTCATTATCACATGGTCAACATGCTCCCAGGGCTTAGTGTTGAAAACCACAGACCCTTTCATCCGCTTATTTGTGCTTCCTTTTGTCGTAACAGTTACCCAAACACCAGCACTGTCACCGGTCCCAATTTCTGCAGCAGTATGTGCAGAAACAAATTTAACCACTCAAAACCAAGAAAGTAAGACAATACTCATTTACGTATCCAACCCCAAATACACGAAGCTGAGACACTATATGTACAGCACAACATGATAGAATCAGTCAATCTATTCAAGTAAAATAGTGTCACTGTGACAATGTGGAGCCTATCATACCTTCATGGGAGCTTTCAGAACATCTTTTAACAGCAGGTACATTTGCATATGCATTCACACAAGAGACTTCCACACCCTCTAGACTGCTTGAAGTGTTACATGCAACTTCTTTCACCTCTTCTGCAAGGGATAGCAATAATGTGATATTGATGCTTTACAGAAACAGGGAGAAACAGACAAACTTACTACCTGTCAGGCTACGGTTCTCAAAATTTGTCAGCCCATTAGCCTGTATGCCACCATTCGCTGATGATCTGAGAGAACGAACATCATACTCTGGATGACTTTTCCAAGAAGGCACTGCCAATAACTGAGAGATGAATTCCCTTGCATCCAAATTGTACGTACAAACATGATCATTAACCTTATTGATTTCTGCATTGATCTTTAGATAATGAATGCTATCCGGATTCAAATCATTTGCATAAACTAGGCATCCTTTCTGTGCTGCTGGAATTGCGAATGGACCAATACCGGCAAACATGTCACAGATGGTCTCTCCTGCCCGGAACTGAGAAACCAACCTTAAATGCTCATGTTCCAACCTTGAATTCCAATAGACCAAGCTATAATCTAGCTTGAATGTTGCCCTGTATTGCTTCACTTCTGTGACCATATCATTTTCGCCCGCCAGTACTTCAAATTTTGGCACGCGAAACTTATTAGTAATAGTTCCAACTTTATTCACAACTGTTCTGATTCTAGGCTGATTTTTCTGAGAAGCAAAGAATTGAAACACAATAAGGCTGCAAAGAAAGGAGTTGAGAAATACTATATTTGGTTTCAGCACTTAAGAGGTTGTAAATATACAAGCAAGTGCAATGTAATATGTAGTGGATTTGCAAACCAACCCACCCAACATTCCACAACGGCTTCATAATAATTTGTTTACTTTATTAGCATTTGGGAGCTTCTAAATGTTAATGCATATAGCAAACCAGAATAATTCAAACATAAATAGAAGACAAAAGCTTCCAAAAACAGAATAAGGATAAAGATAAAGGAGCATGTAAGCAAACAATGGTAGTCTCTCACTGGAGAAAGTAGAGTAGAAATACATATGCCATCTAGTTTTACCAAAAACTTTTGATAGGACTATTTTTACCAAAAACTTGGCAGTATCATACAAGAAGATAGAGAGGAGTACCCTGCTGACTCGAAATATGAGGCACGGGGACCTCATGTAGAAATATTCAAATACTCAAACTGGAAATTAAATTGCTAAGCCTCAGTACAAATAAGAAACTGTGGACTTTATTGCATTTGACATAATCTGTTTTTGCAATCAGAGAGGACTCAGTGAAATTGTGGATAAAATCTCCTTGAACTAGAAAAAAAATATATAAGGGAACCTTTTGCAAGTGGTAATGCACAAAAAAGGAAGAAAATTATTGGCCACAAAAAACATTCATTTGTCTAAAAATAGTCAGATAGCATTTCATGCAGAATTACGAAACAAGTCCCTTCAGGAAGTAAAGCACGTGTTAAGGCCATAAATGGATTGAAGCATACATCATAAATAACCTTGGCGATGACCTCCTTGTATGGAAGTAGATTATCAGCTATATTCAGATGGGCAATGTGACCTGTATAAAAATTGGTAACATCAATTCGTTTGTCAATGACTAAAATTATAATCTTCACCACTAAGCGAAGATTAGACCGATTGTAAAAGTTACACAGAAAAACTCTCAGAACTCAATAAAAATTAGAACGATTGTAAAAAGAAAGGCAGGAATAGAGTAAAGTAAGTAGAATACTTAACTATTGTCTCAAAAGATGAAGGAACTTCAAGCCCAGGTGGCAGAATTTGCTTCAACACATGGTCTGTCCTCAAATAACCCAACAGAATGTCAGCAGTGCGTCAGAATATATCAATCAACCTCAATTTAAGCCAAGTATAATGGGTTTTATGAGTACAATGTCAAAGGGAAGAACCCCAGAGGGAAAAAAAGAAGCTAGACTGAGTTTATGAAGTAGTTTTAACAAAAAAACACAGGAAACAAAAGATTGGTATTGTAATTTTGCTTTATCTATCTCAGCTCAATTCCGCTCCAAATCTAACGTACTCATTCAATATTTCTCGTCAGGAATGTCTTCTTTTCCCTTTGCAGCTCATGATGAAATTTTTATTCACGCTCAGAATTTTTTTGAACAAAAACCATCGAGGGATGAACTCATTATGAACAATTGTAGTTTTTCAATCTTCTTTATCTGATATGTAGTATACTAAAGACGGGTTCTTCATGGAAAGGTGATATGCAGATGGTGAAACAATGAATAAAAGGTCCAAATTCTATTCTAAGGAAGGGTGCTGAACACAGTATAATTGCTTGAAAAGGGATTGATTTCCAGTGAAATGATTTTCAAGGTAGGATATAATAGTCGGTTCTGACAATACCACCTTACGTTGAAGATGCAGTCTCCACCCCTACATCCAAACAACTGCTTATTTGACAGTTGCAGCAGCTTCATATCACTAACTTTTAAATTTTGAATTTTCAAAGCTGCTCAATCAGGGTGACACAAAGCAACTTGAGACAACCACTATACTACATCAAATTCATTTCTACAAAACTTCATGTTCGTGAAGAGTCTTTTTATGCAATTATGGCCACAATATAAAATCACAGACAGTAATTAGGCAAGTTGAAAGACAAAAAACCAATCTTCATTTTAGCCAACCAAGGTCCAAAGACCAAACTACAGACAATCATAAGATTTCTAAAGGTATAGCTAATTAGAAAATATTAAAATTATAAAGAATTTCAATCTAATTAAGAAGGATTGCAAAGGACCTGCACTCCAATAGGAATATCCCAGTGTCAGCAAATATGGAACTACTTCAAGCTCGCACAGACCTTTTAATTCATCTAGTTTTTTGCCTGGAATATCAGACAAATCTGTTTCACATTAAAAGAAAAAAAAATCACCGTAATGAGGATAGGTTGTTACATGACATAAACATATATTTAACAGATAATCCCCCTAACTATGTCAACATCCGAAACAAGGCCAAATTAGATGAGAGGTACGAGAAAAATGCGTTTTACTAACTATTAACTAGGTAGGAGTTAAGAACGAACTGAAAACAACTCTGCTTATGAAAAAAATAAGTAAGTCAGGCTCCATAAATCCTGAAGTCTAAACTGAAGTTTTGAACTTGGACTTCAATTGAGCAAGTTGGTTTATACCAACCAAAATCACAAGGAAAAATGCAGCTAGTAAGGCTTTGAAAACGAACTCATACACAAGCTCGAGAGAGTACAGAATTTCTTACCAGAATTTTGAACCTTTTCAGAAAAAATCATGTAACGATTTCTTTCACTTGTCGGGTCTTCGGTGATAGGCTTGATGCGAGGCCTGTCAAGCAAGTATCTACAAACAAAAAGGCATCAAAAAAGAAAACAATTTCACTTATCTCCAACTGAAATTGCTCGAAACGGAGCTATACAGTTTGAATATGGCTATACTGAATTGAATCGAATTGAATACTTGAAATCGATATGAAAATTCATACCCGTTGAGTATTCGAGTGGCGATCTTGCAAAGTTCGCGAGGGATTCGAAGCGCCCACAGTTTCAATTGCACGTCGAACTTGCTTTCGTCCAACATTGCTTCCATTTTCAGAAGACAGGGAGGATTGAAGTGAGGATTCTGAGATTAGGGTTTTAATTACAGTAGAGACCGTAGGGGTTTTCTATCATGTAGGGGTTTTCTATCGGGAAAATTGGAAGAATTTATATCGAATTACACTTATTTGTCAAAAAATACATAAAAAAAAAATATAGGATAATTAAATATTTAATTTTGATACTTATTTATATGTAAGTATATTATTTGAATTTTATTGATTTTTTTGTGACATTTTTATCCTCCATTAATCCATATATATTTAATGCATTACTTTTCTTTAGAAGATGGTGAATTAAACATCTTTTAATTTTATATATATATATATGCATTAAAAGATAATATATATATATATATATNAAATGGTGAATTAAACATCTTCTAATTTTATTAGAAAACTTTAATACATACATATATATATACTTGTTTGGATTTCAAAATTTGTATTCATATATATATGTATATAAATTATATTTTAATGCTTATATATATATATATATNAGATGGTGAATTAAACATCTTTTAATTTTATATATATATATATGCATTAAAAGATAATATATATATATATATATATGTATATAAATTATATTTTAATGCTTATATATATATATATACTTATGCATGTATGTGTATACTTGTTATTAAATCTCTTATCTAAATTTTGAATTATCTTTTAATGCACCTTCNATACTTATGCATGTATGTGTATACTTGTTATTAAATCTCTTATCTAAATTTTGAATTATCTTTTAATGCACGATGATTTTATTTTTAAATTAATTTAATATCCGAATAGTGTAATAGTGTAACAAAAATAGTATAACAATAAAAGTGTAACAATATAACAATAATAATATAACANCGTGCATTTTTTTTTTTAAGTGATTTTATTTTTAAATTAATTTAATATCCGAATAGTGTAATAGTGTAACAAAAATAGTATAACAATAAAAGTGTAACAATATAACAATAATAATATAACAAGCTATTTACACAAAATATTGTATTATTACATTTTGTCAAACATATAGTTTCATATAATTTATTTCAAAATAGTCCATCTCCGTTTTAAATTTGTTACCACATACACAAAACTACTGAACACTATTTTTGTTACAGTGTATTTGTTACACTGTTTTTGTTATACTATTACATTATTAGGATATTAAATTAATTTAAAAATAAAACCATTTTCAAAAATAAAAAAATGTTTGAATTAACGTATATTAAATATAATTTGAAAACAAAATTATTTTCCAAAAAAAAAAATATGAATGAATCAATGTGTATTAAAGATAATTCAAAATTTATATAAGAGATTTAACAACAAGTATATATATATATACACACATATTTACATATATTAACAAATACACATGAATCAAGGTACATTAAATACATATTTATAAGTATTAACAAACAAAATTTGAATCAAGGTGAATTAAATCTAAGAGATTTTGAATTAAATAACCGTAAAATAGGCATTTATGTCTTTGTAACTCAGTTGTGTACTTTTTTTAAAAATATTTTATTTTATATATTTTTTGTCAAATAAACCTAATTAGATATACCGACTTCTAAATAACCTGTTTTCTATCTGTACTAAGCAATTAGACCGTGTTAAAACTTGGTGGGCTTTTGTTGTCGTTGGGCTCAACTTCAACAAAATTTTCTCGGCCCAGTAATATTGGCTTTAATTCGTTAATTGGATGAGCTTCGCTCCATTTTGTATCCGGTTCCTCTTTATACAATCATATAAACAACGAGAGCCCTAATCTTATTAGGGGAGTACTTGGTATCTTTGGTATTCTTGCACTTAATTTGAAAGTAGCTCAAGTGGTAATAAAAAATAAGTTATAAACTTAGACATCTTGAGTTTGAATCTTAACAATTCTTTAGGATCAGGTCATAAAAGATTTATCTCTATTGGATATCCTAGTCCCGTCATGAATGACCTACTTCTGACCAGACCAGGAAAAGAACATGTAAGTTAACCTGAACACCCCTGGACAGTTAAACCAAAAAAAAAAAAAATTCTTGTACTTAGAGATACAACTTAGGCAGGGTCGACGGAATCAACTTGATCTCAACCCAAAAATATCTAAGACCAAACATAAATTTTTAAAATCCGAGCTGAATTTGGATGAAAACTCTCAATCCAATTTAAAAGTTTTAGACAATATTTCAAGTTGGGAATACAGAACTTGGGGGCCCAGTCCAAGCCTGTTCCAAATTCATTTCAAAATTCGTGAGAGATATGTAACTTTGGAACAGAAATTTAAATTTCATTCTGAAAATTGAATTCGAATTTCAGCTCGAGTTGTGTATTTCAAATTTAATCTCAGTTTCAAAACTTAAGTATCAACTATACTTGTGAACGGTTTGAATTAAAGTTCGTGTTTGGATTGAATTCGGATCGGGTAGTTTATGACTTAAAGGTAAATGTTAATTGATCTATTTGTCAGTCCAATCCATCCGAATTACCCCAAAGTCCTACATATGATGTCACCTCAAAGTGCCAACCAGATAGACCAAGTCTCCAAGTACTTGAAACTTCCTTTTTCTTCACACTTCAGTATGGTAGCAATCACACACATCACTATGCCTGTTTTTTTTTCTTGCTATACCACCAAACTTCGGAATATAAAGTAGAGGCATTAGGCCCAAATCATTGTCATATAGATCTGACAATCGTGTTAGATTGTGTCGATTTATATCGATATATTAGTGAGTTAATATCAAAACTACTTAAACTCGTATATAAATCATTTATTATAAAAGTGAAAATTGTAAAGTCAAATACGATTCGTTTATTAAATGAATTACATGACTCAACTCAAAAAGTCTTAATTTTACAGTAAATTAGGTCATCTATTAAATAAGTAATCGATAGCAAACAGATAATCGAACAAGTAATCGAGTGATAAATGAGTTAAGACACTCTTCCGAACACGACTTATTTAATATGTGAGTTAAAAAGGGCCAACTATTTATGATCCGAATCCATTAAAATCAAATTCAAATTCATTAATTTCATGGTAATTAGTATCAATTAAATCAGATTGTGTTGAATTTTATGAGCCCTACTGTCATATCTGCTTGATTGATCAATAATATGTCTAAGGCCACTGCCGTGTAGCATAAAATTGACACACAGGTTTCGAGGTATCAAGAACCAAAACTTATGGCTGGTTAAGTGACGTATCGATCAAACTTCTTATTCTGAAGTTAAAGGTTTGAGTATTTGAATTTATGTTGAAATTTAGTGATCGACCGCTATGATAGCGTAGCTAAATTCATTTTTTATAAGAGTAAGAACATCTCTAATAATGCTATCTAAAATAACTACTTAAAATATATTTAAATATTACATTATCTACTTTAACTAATCATTTTTTCAAATTCACTTTAACAACGCTATCTATTTTAACTAACCACTTCAACTAACTTTAACTAAATTTTAATAATAAAATTTAAAAAATAACAATTCAACTATATATTATACAAATTCAATCAATTATAGGCTACAGGAAAAAAACCACCTCCCAAATATTACTGCTTCCAAACCAAATTCTCTCAAATTAAATCACAAAATTCAAAACAAAATCACTTCAAATTATCAAGATTTTTTAGGGGTTTTGCTGAATTTTTTGAGAGTTTTAATGAAAATTTGGGAAGAGTTTACTGGATTTTTGAGAGATTTTGTTGGATTTTTAGGAGATTTTGTTGAAATTTTTGGGGGTTTTGTTGAATTTTTGGAGGGGTGTTATTGAATTTTTGGAGGAAATTTTACAGAGTTGGCGATGAAGACAATGCCACCGTCTCTTCCAACACCACTTGCCACCGTCTCTCCCAACACCACCTGCCACCACTATCTTCTACACATGGACATACAGATCCAAACAACACATCACAAAACTGATTCATCAATTGAACAATTGAAGAAGAAGGTATGTGCTATGCTACGTGGCCACAAAACTAATGAACATTGAACTTTTTAATTAGATCCTTCTCTCAATCAAATGTAAACTATGGTACAATCTATACCGGTGGAGCCTTCTGCAATGAAGCTTTCAGTCGGCGGTGTTGTGGAGAGCCTTCTGCGATGAAGCTTTAGATGTGGTGCGATGAAGCCTTCTATGCTATGGAGCTTCAGTGATAGAGAGAGAAAGGGCCAGCGAGGGAGAAGTGGCAGCCGATGAAAATGGGGTTATGGAAAATAGATGGGAATAGCTGGTCTTTTTGAGCCAGATTTTAGGGGAAACTATCTAAAATAACTAAGGGGAGGAGTTTACCTAATCTATTGGAGGTACTCTAACAAACACGAAAAAGGGTCTCATAATTATTCAGTAAAAATTTATCGGGATGATCTCTGAACACTCTCTTTTATCCCTACTATTTTTCAAAGAGCAAAAGAAAAAACACTCATCATCAAATAATGACACCCTATCCATCAATCTCACCATTAATGATAAGTAATTTTAAGGATTAATTTCAAAATGAGTGCTTAC